GGTGGATCATTGGAACAGGTTGCCCAGAGAGGTGGTGGAGGCCCCATCCCTGGAGATATTCAAGGTCAGGCTTGATGGGGCTCTGAGCAACCTGCGCTAGTGAAGATGTCCCTGCTCACTGCAGGGGGGTTGGACTAGATGACCTTTGAAGGTCCCTTCCAACCCAAACCATTCTGTGATTCAGGTTGGATTCTCAGGGATGAAATTTGTTCTTACATCTTTGTGCGTATACAGCATCCATAATTTAGTTTGTGGACAGAAATTCTTCATACTAGAGGCAAGAAATCTTGTCACGCTGAAATGACAGCTGTGACCATGCTGCAGCGTTGCAGGGTTCATTATTTCAGTACTTCTGTATGTCTTGAGGTAGACTCAGGGGATTGCATAGGTCCCCACAGTGGAAGAGAGAAGAAGTTGTTATTGTTTGATCCTTATTGTTTGTTATATATTTATCCTTTTCCTGTGGAGCCATGGATGTGACTTTGGAGTCATCCTTCCTGCTGGAGTTCCCTTTTTTCTCTCCCAAGCAGTAGGTTTTACCCCTGCTAGTTCTTGGGCAGCTCACCTGACATTTCTCTAGCACTGCTCCACTGCTCTGCAAAGAGATGTGACCATCACAGTGATGTTAGGAAGGACCTTGGTGGTTTTACATTCCTTTGACAATTGAGCAAATTCTGTCCTTCTTCATTCAAGATTTTTCATGTTCTTAGTCTTGGCTGGTACGTAGGAGTAGTTGAGGGTTATGCTGAATAGTTTTCAAGGGCTGCTGAGTTTAGGTTGCACCTTTGCCTTGTGTGTTGAGTCCTAAAACACGTTTAAGACTACTCCTGAGCAAATCTCTTCTGAGTCAGAATGCTTCCTACTTTCTGCCTTTCCTCACCTCAGTAATTAAGCTGTGTTCTTACACTCTCACAAAGCCATATCCAGGCATACTGGAAAATTTGAGCACAGAAGGATTCAAAATGGTGCAACAGAGAAGGTTTGTCGTACATAAATTTCAAAGTGTACTTAAAAGCTTTTACATGCAAATGAATTTTATATTGGTTTGAAAGAAAAGAGTCACTGAGTTTCTAAATAGTAGTGGTGTAGAAAGTGAGAGAAATAAGGGATTACCCAGAGTTCTTACCTCAGGCACAAGATGCATCCCAAACCCTTGTGTAATTACACGTATAATTCCCAGTACAGTGGCCATACTGGGATTTAGTTAGGCAGAGGAGGTTTAATATTCTGAATATGCATCTAGATGAGCAATAATTCATCCCTATTGTTCTTTTACAAGTACAAATTCTATTCCTTCTTCCTCCCCCTATATTTTAATTTGCCTGAAATGATGTTAAAGGAACAACACGCTATCTTGGCTTTTCATGCAACTGAACTTCTTATCTGTAAGGCATCCACTTGTAGCCTGACAAAAACCCCAAAATATTAATTGTGGTGTGTATTTTAATAAATTGATTAAATGTAGGTCACTATCAGAAACATAGAAATCAACTAATTAGGGAAGAGTAGCTAAAAACAACCAACCATGACAGATAACCTGCTCAGTTTCCGTGTAGGTGTGCCAGTTTTTGTTCATATTCCAGCAAGGAATACTAAATAAAATTTAACTGGATAACATTTTGAAATGATAAAGCACATGCTTTGTTTCCTCTGAAAATAATTAACTAGATATTACTGCTGATGGTTTTCTGTTGTTTCTCTCATTCTAAGGCCTCATAATGACTGTAAGTAAACCGTGTTACTTTGGAAACCTGCTGCTAGGAATTGTTGGAGTAGATGTTAATCTCGCGTACATCTTGGAAGATGTCACCTATTACCAAGACTCCTTGGGTTCCTACACTTTCCTCATTGATAATAAAGGTAACTTTTGGCTCAATTATTCTCTCCTAGTCCCTCTGAGATCATTAACCATCCAAAGGAAACTCTTAATCTAAATAGTCTATAAGTACTGAATGATAATATTAATTAAAAGATGAATTGCCATGTTGTTTTGCCTGAATGTTGCTGGAGATTGTGAGTGGGTTCGTGACTTGAAATGTCCGTACAGGAGTTTTGATGTGGAAATAATGACTTGCTGTTGAGATTTTCTACCTATAGAACATCAAGGTTTTCTATATGTGTAGGGCAAACCTGTTAAAATGTGTGTTCAGCTCTTTTCCTCTGATCCCAGCCTCTTTTTATTGCTTGGCTCTTTGAGCTGTCTTTCATTTGCAACTGGACAAGTTCTTAGTTTGCAACAACTCCTTTGATGATAATATTGCTTGTTCACTTTGTTAAGCCTTTGTAAAAACTGTATGTAGTTACTGCATTCTTTATTTTTTCCTGTAAATATTCATCCTGAGCTCAGTTGTTCTCATCCATTCATGGTCTTGGTTCGTGTCTGTATTTTTTAGGATACACTCTTATGCACCCATCCCTTACCAGGCCCTACCTGCTGTCTGAACCGCCGCTCCACACGGATATTATCCACTACGAGAACATTCCTAAATTTGAGCTGGTGTGCCAGAACATCCTTAGGTAAGGAATTTGAGTTGCAAGACCAAACGTTAGCAGACCTTAGGGTGCTAGAAGTATTTCTAGAGGAGTTTTAAGCAAATATAGGGTAAAGTTGCTTTTCCTACAATATCTGGATACTCTTATGGAATTATTTTTTTCTTTTCCCAAATGCAGAATAGTTCTGGTTTGGTTTTTCCTCCAACTTTATTCATTTTATCATTTGCTGTGCTAAGCAGTGGTTTCCACAGCTGATCTGGGGGATACTCTTTCTAATGTCTCTCTTCCACGTCAGGAAGATTTTCCACTATTTGGTCCCGATTTTTCTTTAGTCTTTGTCTTACTTGAGTAGGTGTTTTAACTCAAAATGTGGCAGTACACAAGTGCATTTTCAGCATAAGGACACTTTCTCTTCATCTAAGACAGAGAACAGTTAATCTCTTAATATCTTATGATATTTTAGGTTTTGCTTAGGAGCTTTCTCAGTGTTTAATAAATGCTGTATGTTATATTTGCCAATATAGCATTCCCCTGGGCAGCCAGATCATTACAGTTCCGGTGAACTCCTCACTGTCTTGGCATGTGAACAAACTGAGAGAAATTGGAAAAGAAGCCTACAACGTCAGCTATGCCTGGAAAATGGTAAGGAATAAAAGTGCTGCTCTTGCAGGATGGCGTAAAGTACATTCATATATGGAGAAGTACGTTAATGTATGGAATATAGTGAAGTATTGAGGTATGAAAGGTTTGAGTTACTCACAAACTGTGTGAATTGGGGGATTTTTTTTGTTAGGGTGAAGAACCAATGAAATGATCATTTCAGGTTTGTTACCATGTCATCTTCAGAGATGTGTCTGTGTGGGTACACATGTGCTCCTTTATGAAGGCACTCATTTCATAAGACATATGTAATGAACAGGTCCATAGAGATTCTCCCCGTGCTTTCCCAGTGGCAGTCAATCTATACTGGTCTGGATGTCACACTCCAAGCCAGGTGACACGTAAATTCCTAGCAGAGACCACACTGCAATACAGTGCTGAGGAGGTGTTTAGTATTAAGTCATTCTTTTACTTAATATTGTTGTTATGTTTGGGGCAGGGTAGTATGAGCCATTAATTAATATAATTGGGAAAATGTCAGCTTTTCATTCTGATACTATCTTGTTTCAGAACTGTATCAGTAGCCAGTAATGATGTTTACTGTAATTTAACACTTTTCTTACAAACATTAATTACATCAAAGCTTTCACTGAAACTGAAGACAATGTGTATGCAACAGGCTATATTACCAGTTGTAAGAGCTTTAAGAGAGCTTCTAGCAGCTGTCTTCCTTTCTTCAGTTTAACTTTTGAACATATATGAACACTAATCTTGACCCAGGGATTAAAATGGAATCTCAAATTAAATATAATCCATGTGAATTTTGCTGATGCCAGAAACAACTGACTATTTCTTTGTGCCAACAAAGTCAAGAGGGTACTTGTGGATCATTTCACAGTATTAAGTTAAATCCAACCTAAAAGATTAAGCTGAGCAGTTTTAAGAGATTAAATCTGTCATTGTGTAACAGAAATTCACATAGGAGGGTGTCTGGACCTGATTTTCTAATGTTGTAACGCTACGTTAAATATCAAACACCCTTGCAGAGCAGCTGGGTAACTCCAGGTTTGGCTAGTCTGATGTACTGTAGGATACTGAAAATACACAAACCAGTAAAGCATGTGACACACGCTGCACACAATTACGAGTGGTAATGATAAGATCTTATTTTTGAGAGTTAATTTGTTTGTATTCTTCATAAAGGGAATACCAGTGTGTTTTTTATCAGCTGTGTGAAGCCTCTCCTCTGTTAATAACGCTTCAGAAAGTAACCACGAAACAGCGTTGGAAATTATTGCTCATTGAGCAACAAAATTAAGGTCTTGATGTAATATTTTTTTTCCTGAAAACTAAACATTTTTTATTTTGTACATAGGCTGTGGAAAAGTTCTTGGGTTTTTTTTGTACAACTTAGTGGTAGAAGATGATTGCAGACTGGAATGTGGCTGTATGGGACTGAGTTGCAGTAATCAGACCATTGAAGACAAGTGTCTCTCTCCTGCATGGGACTGACATGGCTTGAAAAAATTTTACCTGCACAACCCTTCTCTCTGTTTTCTGTAGATCAGGCCTGTATTAGCTTCTTGGAAAAGGAGTTATTTGTCTGCAGAGAGAGTGGGAACTGTGCTCCTTGAGAGTATGGTGGAGCGTGGTGCTGCCTTCCAGAACTGGATGAGATGAGCAATTACAGAAAAAGATAATAAATGCTAAATAACAAATAAGCTCTGTAACGCCTCCACCTTTGTGTTTCAGTTTGATGACTTGCCCATGTTTTTCAGGTCCAGGACACATCCTTTATTCTGTGTGTTGTGGTAATACAGCCAGAAATACCTGTTAAACAGCTGAAGAATCTCAACACCGTCCCCAGCAGCAAGCTCCTGTATCACCGACTGGATCTGCTGGGCCAGCCGAACGCCTGCCTGCACTTCAAGCAGCTGGCTACTTTAGGTAAAGCTTTCTTGCCATTCATCTTGACCACCTTGTGCATGTTTCTGTAGAGTGTGGCAGCAGAAGGTAAAGTCATTCTCACAAAACACTGGAAATACTCGCCTCTTGAGAGGTTTTTATTTCCAAGGCTGATTTCTAATCAGCTGTAACCTCCTTATAGCTCTTCATTGATCACAGCCACCCTGCTTGTCAGAGGATGAGATAAATGCACCGTGAGTTTTGCTGGATTAAGTTCCCAGAAAATGGAGTGGGGGGAGTGAGAGATGTCTTACCAAACTTAAAACTTAAGTTCTCTTCTCTTGGCTGTAAAGCAGCTTATTGACAAATAACGAGTAGGGTGAAGTCTCAGCCGGTCATGCAGTACTTTTTGACTTTGGATTTATGCAAGTTTTTCACTGCCCTAAGCATTTAATACCATCGATCCGTGGGAAGGCAGAAGTTAAGTCTGTTGGGGGAAACCGAGATCTCCTGTGATGTGATAGTTTCCAGACCCCCTCCTTACCTGCTTAAAAATTCTCAGGTTACTGATGCATTTCTGCTTTTAATAAGCTGAACTGATTCTGTTTTACCTGCCTCATTTCAGTAGTTGCTCAAACATACTGGAAAGAGGGAGTCTGAGTGGCAGTGTGAGTTCTAGTGTCTGGAAAGGATTGAGAACTTAACAAACTTAATATATATCCTAAGAACATAGAGGAGTTTTTTTTCAAATAATCATCACAAGTTGTAAGTTTCCTTATTGAAGTATTAATCTGAGAGGTTTTGTTAGAATCTGTGCTATATTATAAGAAGTTCTGAATTAACTGCTTGTGTTTGTAGCAAGGTTTGAAGGTCTCCTGGTGGATTAGCAGCACAGTTGGGATATTTTCTTAGCTATATTGCAGTGCCACAAATAGCTGAGTGAGATTAGATTGGAGGAGTTATGGAGGAACTTGACAAACCTAGGGAAATTGCTTTGCCAATTGTTTAAAATACAAGGTTTTTTTCTTTCTTTAATGTAGTGCCTAGTCCTGATTATCTTCTATCGAGAAAGACAAGATCTAAATGGGAAATATACAAAAAAATGAAGCACTAAGCTGACAAGTGGAAAAACTTCAGGCAAAGCAAAATGCAATCACATCAGAATATTTGGTCTGGGAAGCAGATGAAGGACTCTAATAGAAGTTCATAAGTGATGACTGCACTACATATGGTTGCTGGATGTATGGTGATGTGTTTTAGAGGAATGTGAATAAAAGCAGAACACTGCACATACCCCAGTGAAATTTTGCCTCTGGAGACCATTGCACACAGGGAAATGGGCTTCCACGGGTCAAATACTCGCAAAAGGCGTTATTTTCAGCCTTCAGCCCTGCATCATCATATTTTTTTTCTTTGAAAAAGCTGCCTGGTATTGCAGTTTCTGCACAATGAAAGTTTACTCCCTAGTCTGTTCTGAAAATTACACCAGACAGCAACACAGTTATTGGTAAGCTCCCCCTCTGCGCTTGTAATTCTCAATTTGTTCATTACCTGTAACTCCAAGTGCTCATTTTCATTTTCCTGTGCTGTCTCCAACCTAAATATGGATAATTGATTTCTTCTTCTATACCACAAAGCCTTTTCTTGAGGGAAACCAGCCTCTGTAATCTTTCAAAAAGTAGTAATTCAGAAGTTGTTTAGACTTTGGAGAACGAGGGCACTGAAGTCTATGAAAGAACACGTGGAGATCAGCACCAGCTTTGTGACTTCTGTATTTTGAAGCGAGAAAGTTCGTGTACAACGTGAGTTTTGTCGGTGCCTGGGGAGGCAAGCTGTGCTCTGCTTCGGGTGGAAAACTTCACGTTTCCTGCTGGCTCTCACAGTTCCCCCATGACCTGAAGGAGCTGTGTGCTTTCAGTATTGAGGTGTGGGAGAGTAGATGAACAGGCGGAGGATCCCCTTTCATGGTACGACTGTGTTTAGAATCATAGAATCATAAAATGGTTTGGATTGGAAGGGACCTTAAAGATCATCCACTTCCAACCCCCCTGCCAGCAGCAGGGACACCTTCCACTAGACCAGGTTGCTCAAAGCCTCATCCAGCCTGGCCTTCAACACTTCCAGGGAGGGGGCATCCACAACTTCCTTGGGCAACCTGTTCCAGTGTCTGACCACCCTCACAGTGAAGAACTTCTTCCTAATATCTCATCTAAACCTCCCCTCTTTCAGCTTAAACCCATTTCCCCTTGTTTTGTCATTAACTGCCCTTATGAAAAGTCCCTCCCCAGCTTTCTTGTAGCCCCTTCAGGTACTGGGAGGCCGCTATAAGATCTCCCTGGAGCCTTCTCTTCTCCAGGCTGAACAGCCCCAACTCTCTCAGCCTGTCTTCATAGGAGAGCTGCTCCAGCCCTCGGATCATCCTGGTGGCCCTTCTCTGGACTTGTTCTAACTGGTCCATGTTTACTACACAATATGTGCAATTCATGGTCCTTTCCCATATTTTGCTATTTTCAGAAAGTCCTACGGTGATGCTCTCTGCGGGCAGCTTCTCCTCTCCGTACGAACATCTCAGCCAGCCCGAGACGAAGCGGATGGTGGAGCATTACACAGCGTACCTCAGCGACAACACGCGCCTGATTGCCAACCCTGGCCTGAAGGTATGTCCCCTGTGGTCAGCCCTGGAGAACTCTGGTTTCCTGCCATCCCACGCCTTCATCCAGGACAGGAGTACCTGAAACATGGATCTCCTGATGCTCGTAGGGTTCTGGAGTGGTGGTTTGGAGTGGTATCCCCATGCCTGGAGAGATGGATGTGGGCTTCAAGGCCCAGAAGAGTGGAGAGAGGAGGGAGAGGGCTTCTTCTCCAGGGTGGAGGAAGGAGTTGATAAGCAACTATTGAAATGAACAGTAGAAAAATGAAAGCTGCAGTAAATTCTTAGCGGAAATATCTTTGTGTTCTTAGGCATATAAATGAGAAGTTTCTATTTTGTTTGCAGGCAGAGCAGTATTTATATTTACATGAAGTGAAAAAGCAAATGCAAAAAGCCTCAGAGATAACGACAACAATATTTCATTATAATAAGCTTTTCCTTGGCTTGGAATGTGCCAGATCCGTCTGGTGTGAGAAGACTTGAAACAAGTAATTGAGTTTAGATGATCTCCGATCAGTCTTTAGGAAACCCCGCCAGCAGCTTATTATCTTTTCATGCAAGTCTTAGAGGAACCCTGCTAGCTCTGCCTTTGTTTTGCAGTTCTCTGTCAGAAATGAAGTAATGGCTACCAGTCACGTCACAGATGAATGGATGACACAGATGGAAATGAGTAGCCTGAACAGTTACATTGTGCGCCGTTACATAGCAACCCCCAATGGGGTGCTCCGAATTTACCCCGGTTCCCTCATGGACAAAGCATTTGATCCCACCAGGAGACAATGGTGAGTTTTTAGGGTCCTGTTATCAAAGCTTTAGATAATCTTGGAGAGGGCAGTCAGGGAAATATTTGGTATTGATTTTATAGCCTGAGGGTTTGTTTTTTTTTATGGCCAGCTATAAAGTATTTAACTAGAAATGTTTTCGGCGTGGGTAAAAGGCTCGGTGCTTAAATACAGCTTGTTAAAAACTTGATTGGTTCTAATTTCAACCCATTTTATTGCAAGTAAGTTTCTGTTTCATATCCCTGCTAGGGCAGATGGGAATATGAAATATTCAGAAAATGAACATCCCCTTTTGGATTAGCTAATTCGGGAGTGTTTTCAACTCCCTGTGCCAGTTTTGGTTGTTAATATTTTAGTCTTTGTGTTTGTTTGTTTACAGCAGATTTCCTCGCTAATTTGGAGGAGGAATTTGCTGGCTCGACTGGTGCTATTAATTATGCACTAGCATCTGATTTGGGAAAATATTTGTGTGCATTACAAACAAGAGCCTGAGACGTCAGAGCGCTCTGGAGTGTGTTTGGACTTGAAAGGAGCCAGCCAGGTGCTGCCGCGCCGTGACGCTGGGAAAGGCACGAGCCAGCGCTGGGTCCCAACCCTCCAGCTCTGAGTTCCTCCTGGCACTGGCCATGCTGTAGCTCTCCTGACCCATGTTTTCCCTGAAAAAAATCATTACCATAGCTACTGATGAGCTTTTCTTCTGAAGGAAAAAAAAAAAAGAAGCAAAGAAGCTGCTTCTTTTTTGTTGTTATTTTTGGGTTTACTGGTAGATAAGGTGATGGAATTTTCATAGAATCCCAGACTGGTTTGGGTTGGAAGGGACCTTAAAGCTCATCCAGTTCCAACCCCCTGCCAGCAGCAGGGACACCTTCCACTAGACCACGTTGCTCAAAGCCTCATCCAACCTGGCCGAGAACACTTCCAGGGAGGAGCAGCCACAGCTTCTCTGGCCAACCTGGGCCACTGTCTCACCACCCTCACAGTGAAGAACTTCTTTCTCTCTTTTTTTTTGTAGTGAGATAAACAAGGTGCTTTCATGTTGTAAATGAACTAAACGCACTTTTACAATCTATTGTCTCCATTTAAAAAGCTCTCCAATTATTTTCATTACTGTTTTGGGGAAGAGGTTTGGTTTTGGTTTTTGTTGTTTTGGGTTTTTTTGCTTTGACACTTCACTGATTTTTCTCAAACCATTTTTCATAGTTTTGAAAAAGCCTCCGTATCCAGCATGCCATAGTGTCTTGGGCTTTTTTTTTTTATATAAAGCCAAATAGCAATGTTTTGGAAAGAAGATGCAAGCAAAGCACTAGTAACAACGTGGAATTCAGTTGCCTGCACAGTACAGTCCAGATTTGTGGGTTAGGATCCTGGAAAGCAAAGTAATAGCTTTTCCATACACAAAAGTGTTTCCAACAGTTGGAATGTTTTATGAAATTTCTTATGACAGTAAGAAGATATTTGACATGGTTGTGGCTCATTTTATGTTGACAATAAGTTTTGAAAGAGATTTGTAATCACTTTCTGACATCTTTCCAGCTTTTTGTGTGTGAATTGTGCCTATAGGGACGTCCTTTTCCCTGTGTTTGCAACACAAGGACTTTGCCAGCGTTTGCTTTGAGTTTCAGACTCTGCTGGCACCGACTCGGACGTCGTTCTGGGGAAAAATGTCTGCAATGACATTAAATGTATTCCGTGCAGAAGTCAATTGAGCTTTTTTTAAATGTGGTTTTATGTACTGAGAAACCATTTGTTGAGCAAATCTGTGTTAGGTCTGGGTCCTAATCATACCAAGGTACTTGTTTAATATTAAGAAGTATTAATTTGGTGGCGCATTGTTCGCCGTGTGCAGAATTCAATGTTTGTCTGTTTCTGCAAAATGAAGGATATTGTCTAAAAGTTTACAGTGACCCTTTTTCACTAGTTCTGAGTGTTTCTTTTGGCTGCCCTTAGGTACTTGCATGCAGTGGCTAATCCAGGACTAATCACCTTTACTGGTCCCTACTTAGATGTGGGAGGAGCAGGCTACGTCGTTACGATCAGTCACACAGTCCATTCTTCCAGGTAAATGGTGTTTTGAGGTTTGTGCCAAGCAAGAATAATCTAAATCATCAAGATGTGTTTTGAGTAGGAGAGACGTACGCTGAGCGACTCCTACGTGTTCAGGAACTGGAAACCAAACGTGGTTTTAAAGGGCTTTTGATGAAATGTAATATAACCTTGTGTAGATCCAGTGGAAATAGTGCATTGAAACACTGTGAAAAGTCCATATTGCATGGATAGGTTTATATTCTGTAGCTTTATTGATACACAAATTATAACAACATATAGAGAAAAAAGATTGACTGGTGAGAATGTGCTCTTGGATGAACATGAGATGAGATGTCATGTATGCAAGACAAGGACTTAGGAGGAGGAGAGTGATCGCTGTCATCAGGCAGTTTGGGATACGTTCCCTCTCTGCTGGTAGTCAAATACTTTTTCATCAGGGCTGCTCATCTCTAAATTTCCTGAAGTTACTCACACTTACACTTCTGAGGTTGTATGTACCAGGGTGATGTTTGGAAAGGAATAAGAGGTGAAAGGAGATCTCCCCAAGTGCCTGTGGAGGTCAGTCCATGATAGTGCTGTAATTAAAGAGCTGACCCTATGCCAGAAATGGGGGGAGCTCCTCACCTGGGCTGGTTAAATTCAGCACTTCTGGACAAGGACTTTCAGGAGTAAGAAGAGCTTGAGGAGAAGCCTGTAAGCCTTCAACTGCCCTGACAGGATTGCAGAAAACCCAGAGAGGTTGTGGAGTCTCCATCTCTGGAGATGTTCAAAACCTGCCTGGATGCTTTCCTGTCCAACCTGGTGTAGGGAACCTGCTTTGGCAGGGGGGTTGGACTGGATGATCTCCTGAGGTCCCTTCCAAGCCCACCAGTCTGGGATTCTGTGAAAACAAATCAGGGTGGAAACAGCAGCCTGTGCCTTTGGGATCAAAACCCCGCATGTAGCTAAAGGACCATCACAGCCTTCAGTTAATTCCGTTAATATTGCCACCAGGAGAAGTGGCATCAATCTCTCTATGAACATCTTGTTGGAACTGGAATGAACTCTTTTCTCAAGGACCAGACTCTTTTTTGTTTCAGCTCCCTCCTGGCCAGGCTCCCAGCCTAAGGCTGAGGTTTGGTTTAAGATGTAGGCTGTTGAAAGGAGGTCAGCTTATAGAATATTTACTAAACCTTCCTACCATAACCTCTCCCAAGTTTCAGAAATGGTAGGTACTCTTTGTTCTTTACACGGAGTCTCTTCCAAGACTTTCACTGAGCGTGTGGCTTCTTCACATGCTCCAGACCTCACCAGTACAAAGGTAACTTCTGATGTTGTGCTGGTAAATACAGATCACAAAGCCAGCAGAGCTCAGGACGCTGCTTTTCTGCTCTTCTCAGAGACATCTCAGCTTTGTTTGGGATTTCCCAGCACAGGACATCTGCCTGTCTTTCTTTTTTTGGCAGGAGTATTATCAGGCCTGATGCCTGCGTGGTGCTTCTCACAGAGGAATTTACTTAAGGGAAATAAGCACTTTTTAAGAAGAAAAATGCTGATTTTTATCTAGCAAGCAATGGGTTCAGTTAGCTTGAAGAACATAAAGCTCGTGTGGGTTATTGGAACGTGATTAAAGAACGGTTAAACAAAGTTTGGCAGATGTGAGTGTGATTCCTGGGTAAATATGACCTCTAAAGCTTATAGCCACATGCGGTTATAATCCCCAAAGAGGTCTTGGTTGAAAAAAAAAAACCCCAAAACAGAGGGGTGGGGGAGGAATCAGTAGAGTTAATAGATGTACTTGCATTAGAAACTGCTGTGTGGGTTTAAATAACATTAGTTTATCTGGAACTTACTTCTTGGTCCCATTTTTTGTTTTTATATCTTATTTCTTTTTTTGAAGGGCAGGAGTAGAAGATTCATGCAACAAGTTATTTAATACAGATTGCCTCAGCAAACCAGAAGGATTTAATGCTTAAAAACAAAGCTAAAATATTTACAGCTAAATATTTACAACTAAAATATTTTTTCTGTTAGGATAGAGCAGTAATTTCATAGCTTGATGCCTTGTCACATGCAGTTAAATGTATCTGTGCTGCTCCTCTGTCATCCTTTTTCCCATTCCTTCTCCATGAAATGTTAAAAATAAATTAACTGTGGGTTTTTAGCATCTCTATTTATAAATCTACTAATTAGATTTGACTGCATCTTCATTGTACCTCTGAAAAGCAAACAAGCTTCACTCCAGTAAACAGAGTTGGTTTTATCTGGATAGGGGGTTGCCAGCAGCCTCTGCTTTGTACAGTCCAGCTGTGCCATTCTGTTATCTTCTTTTTTTAGATATTTTGATTCCTATCTTCAGAGATAAAATCATTTGGAAAAGTAAATCTAAAAAGTAGCAAGTCAAAGGTGTCTCCTTTGTGATCAACATGAGGCCCACATAGGTGCAAAAAGAGCACGCCCTGTGATTTGAGGAGGAGCTGATCATTTTGTGTCCCTCAGGGAGGAGAGGTGACTCTGTCTGTCTGGCCATCTCAGCGCTGCAGGAGCCACCTTGGAGAATTTGGGTGTTAGAAATGTAGGAGGGACAGGGGTTGCTCAGTACCCTCAGGCTACTGCACACCACCACGTAATATAATCATTTTCATAACCTGCCATAATGAATATTAGTTATTTTCCTCTATTATTAGATTATGAGGCTTTTATTCCAGAGCCTCCCTGCTCTGATGCCCAGCTGCCCCGTGGGGATTTGCACCTTAGTTCAAGCGCGTTGATTCAGGAGGTCTTGACTATCTGGATGTTTCTCCTGAGGGGAAGGTGGGAATTTGCCCAGACAGGAAGTTTTGGAAAAATAACAACATAAATAGAATATAATTTCTATTTGGAGCTTTCAGCATCCAAGTGGTCTCAGCCAAACATCGAGACTGTGCTTCTGCTGGGAGACCTTTTGCAATAGGTGATGTAAAACCCTCACTGATGGTGGGGAAAGTTAAAACAATACCACTGGGCAAAAATAGCACTTTTTAACCTTTACAGAGCTGTAAGGAAATGCAATTCCATACATCAGCCTGAGCCTTGGTGGTCTTTGATGTATCAGTTGCTAAGGCAACTGTGTATATTCCCCAACTGGTGTGTAAAAATAGGAAGAGAAGCGCGTTTGCAGGATGGGTGGAATATCACAGTTCACAGCAGCTCTTGCTGGTGAGAATCCACGGAGACTCCAGGCTCTGCCCTTATTTTATGGTTGCCCTACAATGGGGAAAAAATACCGAATCAGAACATTTGTTAAGTGATAGGGTTTGTAGGCAGTGTCAGGTTCACATGATTTACTCCTGTTTAACTCCAGCTAGTAGAGATAACAGGCCCGTTAGTAGGATGGGATTTGAAGCACCTACCTACCACCTGGTGCCACGTAACCTCACTCGTGTCTGTACCTTGACCAGCTTTTTTTTTCCTGGCTGAAATTCACAATCACTCCTAAACTTTGGAATTTTAAGGGCTTAGCAAAATGTCTACAGCAGTTTGATATCCAGGTCCTAACGGCGGGGGCTGAGCAAAGAGGAGCAGTGCAGAACAAAACCCTCCTCGAGGTGGTGGGATTCACGTGGTGGAGATGCAGGAGCTATGTCCTGTGTTAATTTGTGTGGGTGGGGAATTTTTAATCCTAATTTATGTTGCTAAATGTTAAATGTCTGTAGGTGGTAGGGGTGTATGTAAGAGCCAAGGGAGCACGGCCTGTGGGAGAAGGGTCAGTTCCTGAGTGTGATCCAGTCCTGGCTGGGTTGTCTCCTGTCTCCTCCATGTTCTGGTTGTGTGAGATGCAATTTAACTGAAGGGACTTTAGGATTGTCAGCAAATACCTGTCACTGTTGAGACCCAATTCTCTCCATTTACAGCTGCTAGAACTGTTCATGTAAACGCTCGCTGGGTGAATCGAGCTTCGGTGTGGAGATGTGGATTTGAGCTGGTCACTTACATGCCAGGGAAGCCAGTCCTCTTTTCAAGCAGGGAACTGAGTAATTAAAATATTAATTATTAATAGAGCCATGAAAACCTTTTCCCTTTTTTTCCTCCTCTCTTTGCAGCACACAGATGTCTTCAGGACATTCGGTGGCAGTGATGGGCATTGACTTCACCCTCCGATATTTCTACAAAGTTCTCATGGACCTGCTGCCAGTTTGTAACCAGGATGGAGGAAACAAAATAAGGTAAGAGTTGGAGTGTTCCTTCCACGCAGCACAGATCTAAAACCTTTCCCTTTAACCAGATGACCCAGAGGAACTTCCCAACTTAACTTATTCCAGGATTCTGCTGCTGTCAATGTGTGTTCTCTGATTTCCACTCCAATTTGTGCTTGTGCTTCTCATAAAGATTACGTGGACTTTTTTTGTTATTCAGGATCAAACTGTCACCAGCGAAGTACAGGCTGCAGGGATACAAAAAAGGAAGATAACCAATTTTTTGTTGTTGTTAGATTTAGACATCACTGAAATCATGGGCAAAAACCCATTTTTTTATTAAATGAACACGCTTCCCATTCTCTTCTGTGTGTTTTCATTTTACCTATTTAGTTACTGTGAGCACGTAATAACATTGTATTATCTCTAGTTATTTAAAATACAGTTATTAAAATACACTTTTGTTATATTTTCCTCAGAAATAGGTAGCACAGCACTAGTCAGAAGTAGTCTGATTTGTCCTGGAGTATCTAATTTTCTTTAGGTTTATGTGTATCTTAATTGTTCCTCTTTCCTTTACTCTTCTTTGAAAAATCATGTGGGGGGGGAAAGGGTCGACTCTGGTTTAGATCTAAAGTAACTTGATAACGTGGTTGAGGCATTGTTGTTTCCGTGTTTGTTTTTAAATCATAAACTTGTGAGGGGAAGTGGTTTTCTCTCATCCTCCCAGTTCTTCTCTGGTTTGGTTTGGGTGGTTTTTTAATATATTTTATGGTGTACTAAAAAAAAAAACCAGGGCAAAACAAAAAAACCCAAACAAACAAAAAAAAGCCCAACAGAATTTCTGGCATTCCTTCCTCCCCAGTGAAAACCTATTAATAATCAATGGGATCAGATGCTTTATTCTGTTCCTACATTCCCTAAATGAGGAATTTCAAGCATATTGTTAAATATTTTGTTAGAGCACTCTAGTGCTTTCGGATGGAACGCTTCCAGCCTCTGCAGAAACACGCCCAGGTACTCAGAAACCACTGTTCTGACTGTCTGGCAGGTGTTTGGGTTTGGTTAATGTATTTTTCTCTCTGCAGTCACTCTGGGATAATCACAAGCCTGCTCATTCTCCCATTTCCTATAGCATCTTTCAGAAAACAAGAAAAAATGCAGCATCACAACATGAATTTCTGATGCAAAACCTAAACAGTTTGGAGCAGTAAAAAAAACCAAACCAAAACCCAAACAACTAAAAGTTTTGGTGACTCCTGTGTATATGTAAATGTATGGTCCTGCTTATTCTGCAGTGATCACTCTTCAATTATAGCTGCTCTCTCCGTGACCCACGTAGGTAGAGCTTTACATCGCAGGCTGCCATGGGAATCGCTGACTTTAAAGCTGCCCGAAGCTCCCACTGACCCCAGGCAGGAGGCCGGGGCAGCAGCACAGCTGTGGGGCCCGGCTAAAGCCCCGCTGTGCTGGGGGGACGTCGGGGGGACGCGGCTGCTGCCCTGCTGAGCTCTTTGGGAGCGTTGAGTGGCCGCGGTACCCTCCTCCCGCAGCCCTTCTGCGGCCGCCCCTTCTCTTGATCTCGGCGCAGGCTGTGTCGTCCCCGCTGCCGCTTGCGCCTCCGCCTGCCCCAGCGCGGCTGTCTGCGGCTATGGAAACGGGAGATGCCCAAAACGGGACGGATTAAAACCTCACAGCACACTGGTTTCTAGACAGGGACACAGTATTCTCCTGAGATCACACGGGAAAGGAATGGGAAGAGCTGAAAAGGGAGAGGAAAGGTTGGGAAGGCTGAGAATCACGGAATCCCAGACTGGTTTGGGTTGGAAGGGACCTTAAAGCTCATCCAGTCCCAACCCCCCTGCCAGCAGCAGGGACATCTTCTCATGAAATGAAACAGGAGTGATTTATCTCCCCGTTAAAATTGAATTCTAAGGCAGGAGGTCATTAAGGAGAGTGTGAAATCTCAGTTTAATTAGTAACATAGTACATTAATAAACTGTTAAAGCTTTTCAAGTTCATTATGCCTCATTTATTTCTGTATTTCCCTGATCAGACAACACAACACACTGATCAGTTTTCCTCCTTTCTGTTTCTAATTGGTTCCATTTCCAAGTCCTTGATGGTCCAGGCTTGCTGTGGCACTAGCAGGTTTTAAAGCTTCAGGGAAATACCCAATATATTCCTTAAAGACATTTTGCAGTGTATTTATTTAACAGCCCTGTTATTTTAATAAATGGAAGCCTTTAAAAATTCTTCCTCTAGCTGTAAATTTACGCTGGTGTTTTATTTCACCCTGTTTCTCTGAAGCCAGAGGAGGTCTAACAGGAGACTCTCCACTTTGTCCTGGGCAGGTGCTTTATCATGGAGGACAGAGGGTACCTTGTGGCACACCCAACCCTCATCGATCCCAAAGGACACGCACCGGTGGAGCAGCAGCACATTACACACAAGGTCTGGCTCCTTTTTTTCTTGGTTCATTCCTCCCATTTTCTGATTTCTGAGGTGATAAGGACTGTGGAGAAGCTGCTGTTTGTGTCTGATTTCAAAGGCATCAAATCCTCCCTTTTTCACTTAGGAGCCTCTGGTAGCAAATGACATTCTGAACCACCCAAACTTCGTCAAGAAAAACCTCTGCAACAGCTTCAGTGACAGAACAGTGCAGCGGTTTTATAAATTTAATACCAGCTTAGTGGTAAGTATGTTTTTCTATTTTATTTTGCTTTTGAATGTACTTTGGTTGGGTTGGGTTTCTTCTGGTGGAAACACAAATCCTTGCCAGGATCAGCAGACGAGGCTGGGAGCCAGACTTCCGTGTGGATTGGCCTCTGTTCACCCTCTCCAAACACAAAACCAGTGATCTGGACTGCACCGGGCTGGCACGAGGAGGCAGTTGACATACAAGAGATTATGGATGTGATCGTTGGCCAACTGTGGTTGGTGTCTGCAAAGAACAAGTCTGATGAGGAGCTGCTGAGGGAACTGGGGTTGTTGAGCCTGGAGAAAAGGAGGCTGAGGGGAGACCTGGCTCTGTCCAACTCCCTTGGAGGAGGGTGGAGAGAGGTGGGGGTGGGTCTGTTCAGCCAAGGCCCAAGGGACAGGACAAGAGGAAATGGCCTCCAGTTGCTCCAAGGGAGGTTCAGATTGGGTCTGAGGAAAAATTTCTTCACTGAAAGGGTTCTCAGGTGCTGGAACAGGCTCCCTAGGGAGGTGATTGAGTCCCCATCCCTGGAGGGATTTAACAGACGGGTAGATGAGGTGCTCAGAGATCTGGTTTAGCAGCGGACAGGTACGGTTGGACTCGATGATCTCAAAGGTCTTTTCCAATCAAACAATTCTATGATTCTATGATAAGTCTCATTCAGCATCATGAAAATAAGTTCTCGGTCATTGGGTGAGGAGTTTCCAGTAGTAGTTGGTATTTTTTGCTTTGGATCTTCTCCTGACTTCTGGCTTCCAACTCTGACCAGTGTCACGTCCTCCTGAGACACGGGTAGTACCAGTCTCTAATATTATCTTTTAGCTGGGTGACCCAATAAATGCATTTACTGACGCAACGTGCGTGAGCGTTCACGGAGTATCGTTTGTCAAAGTGCAGCCTTGGGAGATGTGAATGCTCTGCGGTCCCCGTGGTCCTCTGTGAGCTTCCTCCTCTGCTGAGAGCTCTAAGCCAGCAGCTTTCGTCTCTCATTGAGCCGTGAGTGCTGATTGCAGCGCCACAGATCCACCCTTTGCAAGATCACTGAAGAGTTATTCAAAAGATATTAAGCTCTGTGGGAGAAGCTGCTCTTTAAATAATACTTTTCAATTATTAGTGAGAGGAGAAGGTGGGAAATGAGCGACAAAAATAGTTGGAAGTTGTGTCAGAATACGTTGATTGATGTCAAGCTAGGCTTCAGCATTTTCCCTGCACTTGAAATGTACAATAGAAAGTGTGTTACTGTGAAGGAAATTGTGTAGGACGGAGCAAAAACTTGGGATCGTGCCGTGCAAATAGAAATGAGGAATGAGGCTGCCTACCAGAGAGGTCACAGCTGCACAGTGCTGCGGTGGGGTTTTTCATAGCACACGTGCCAGAAAGTTTTCAACAAGTCCTGGTGGTGCCTCCCCGTCAGAGCAGAGCCTCTTTGTGGAGGTGGCCGATGGCTGGCACAGTGGGGACAGGTCAGCGAGGGATGTGATGGAGTGAAGCAGAACCTGCTGTCAGTGGGATGTCAGACTCACTGCGGCCACATCTCGTGGTGTTTACAAGCTAAGCTTATTTTTGTCTGTCTTCAGCAAAGTCTTTCCACCCAGCAGTAGCTTGGAAACAAAACTCAACAGGTTGATGAACAGTTTTGTAAACCTCTTATTTGTGAAGGTGGCACTCCCATGCCTTTGTGTTCCCTCAGCTCTGTAGGTTTCCTTGGAAGGAGGAAAGTCTTCAGCTCTCCAAATACAGGTTTCTTGCTGCACCATAAACGTGACTTGTTGGTTTTTTTTCCCAGGGTGATCTGACAAACCTTGTGCACGGCAGTCACTGTTCCAAGTACAGGCTGACAAGAATCCCGGGCACCAACACCTTTGTGGGAATCGTCAACGAGACCTGTGATTCACTTGCTTTCTGTGCCTGCAGTATGGTAGACAGGCTCTGCCTCAACTGCCACAGGTGAGTGGGCAGGAGATGGGACGTCAACGGGCTGGTCCAGGCATTTCCTTCTTTCCTCTTTCTTCATTCAAGGTTTAGAAAAACACATTTATTTCATAAGCTAAATGAAAACATGCAGTACAAACTGAAGTGAAAACAAAATAGTTACTTCATCTGTGCTATTTGTGAGAGGCATGGTGACTCAGCAGAGACCTCTGATCCTTTGCCATATTGTCATCATCATCATCATCATGGAATGGTTTGGGTTGGAAGGGACCTTAAAGCTCATCCAGCCCCAACCCCCCTGCCAGCAGCAGGGACACCTTCCACTAGACCAGGTTGCTCAAAGCCTCATCCAACCTGGCCTTGTCAGTGTATTAGAACACAGGACAGTTTGTTCTTGACCTGTGGGTGGATGATGTTGAAGACTGACTGATCCCATTTCTCAGGGCAGTTATCTGTGGATCAGGCCCTTTGTTCTGGCCTATTAATACCCACAATTTTACGTGGGTTGGTGTAGGTTTTCATCGAGGGGGTCCTGGTGCTTGCAGGAGGTTTTGCCTCCACCAGCATCAATTACAAGTTGCCCTGCCAAGAAGGATCCTTCCATCTCAGTCTGAGACTTGTCCAGGGGTTGTCTGCTTTTTAAATTTCAAGGGATGGGTAACAGATCAGAGAGGTTCCATTAACACTGTCCCAGCACAGAACTGAGGTGATCCCTGCCCTCCTGGGGGAAGGAGAATGGTTATTGAACAGCTTTCTCCGCGGTGAATCGCCGTTACGCAGCGGCACTGTGGGCTTCACATCGGGGTGTCGTGTCTGATGCATTTTTTTTTGTGTGTGTGTCTTTTCTGCCCTGAAGAATGGAACAGAATGAGTGTGAGTGCCCTTGCGAGTGCCCGCTGGAGGTAAATGAATGTACTGGCAACCTCACCAACGCCGAAAGCAGGTGAGAACCAACCTCCTCTGATGGGACAGCTTGTGACAAGTTAGTTAATAACATGAATTGTTTGATCATGCTAACTTACAGGTGGCACAGATCACACAGGAAGGTGTCCAGGCGGGTCTTGAATGTCTCCAGAGAAGGAGACTCCACACCCTCCCTGGGCAGCCTGTCCCAGGGCTCTGGCACATTCACTGTAAAGAAGTTTCTTCTCAAGTTGAAGCAGAACCTCCTGTGTTCCAGCTCACACCCATTGCCCCTTGTCCTACCATTGGGCATCACTGAGAAGAGCCTGGCTCCATCCTCCTGACATTCGCCCTGAACATATTTATAAACATTAATGAGGTCTCCCCTCAGCCTCCTCAGATGATATGTAATAGGTAAAAATGATCTTTTTCATGGATTATGCTTTGACTAATTCTTATTGTAAGTCTTTACTTTTTGCCCCAATGTAGGAATCCCAGTTGTGAAGTTCATCAGGAGCCGATGACTTTCACCGCCATCGATCCGAGCCTCCAGGACGCTCTCCCGCAGTGCATTAACACTCAGTGCAACCAGAGAACAGAGAGCGGGTAAAGTGGCGTTCCCCGTCCCTCTAAACATACCGTGTTCTTGAAATAAGTGAAAATAGCTCTTCCTTACATGGTTTAAAAAGAAAAAAACCCAACAATATGATGCCAGAATGAGGTAGTACAGCACACACCAATGGAGACGTTATGCTGGAGCCCAGAAACAGAATCCCTGCAGGATCAGTATCCCTGTTTGAGTCCCAGAACACCATTAAGAGCAAACAAATGGTTTCCCATCACACTCGGTGACTCTGAGAACTGAGGGCTGTGCAAGTGGAAGATCTGCTGTTGAAGGGACAACAGATTCTTCCTTTTAGCAAAATGGATAGTGCTGCTCTGCTGGTCTGTCTTCTGGAGGAATGTGTGGGCTAAAGTGTTCGCAGAAAGTAGACGGTTCTTTCACGGTGGTGACCTTGGAGCACGTTAGAGATGGTGGCTGCCTGTCAGCTTCTGGCTTCCTGCTTTTCTCTTCTACTCCTGACATTACGTAGAGAAGCTCGAGTGCTTATTTATTTTTCCCTAGTTATGAGCGGTCTCCAGGGACCTGAGATTGCTACAGCAGATTGTCCTCTGACCAGACTTTCTAAATCCCTTTCTTCCATCTTCCAAAGGATTGCAAAAAAAGGGTGGAACCACAGTCAGACTTCACCACGCTGAGAAATGTCTTATTGGAGGAGTTACAAGTAGGAAGTTCTCGCTTTGCTCAGGCTGAGTGGTGAAGGAAAAAAACCAAAGCAAACACAAGTTTTTTGTGGCCAAACATGACCTGTGTGAGGGTTTACAGATGATTTTGGCCTCCCTCTGTCTCGCGATTCTAAAATAGACTGAGCTGTGCCGCAAGAGAAGTGTGGAACCGGAAAGCTAATCTCGATTTTAATTTTCAGGGATTGCTTTGGTGTGTTGGACTGCGAGTGGTGTATGGTAGACAGTGATGGGAAGACCCATCTGGATAAGTCCTATTGTGCCCCTCAGAAGGAATGCTTCGGCGGCATCGTGGGAGCCAAGAGCCCGTACGTGGATGACTTGGGAGCAATAGGTAACTCTGCTTTCTGAACAGATGCTGCATGTGACTGTTTGTGTTCAGGAATGTACATCCCTGTCCCTACAATGCACCTTCTCTGAATTTCTTCTATTGAAAGTGTGCTGTCCTGTGTGTGCAGCACCTAGAAAGCCTTCCAGATCTTCTCTGATCTTCAGAGATCTTGATTTAAACCTTTCTGCAGAGCACTGATGTTGGGGTTGGTTTTTTTTTTCTTCTGTCTTATCCCTTTTGATTTAGGAGATGAGGTGATCACTCTGAACATGATCAAAAGTGCACCGGTGGGCCCTGTGGCTGGAGGCATCATGGGCTGCATTATGGTGCTTGTCCTAGCGGTATACGCGTATCGTCACCAGATACATCGGAGGAGTCACCAGCACATGTCACCTTTGGCTGCCCAGGGTGAGCTGATAACTCTGGAGAGAGAAATAGTAGGGTGGGAATTTAAAAAACAAACAAACAAAAAACAACAACAAAAGAAAAGCCAAAACCAAACAACAACAACAAAAAAAGCCCAAACCGATTTCCTTGGTTTTGTTTCGATGCTTCACCCCCTTTTATTTCCCTGTTGCCAACCCTTATATAAGTCAGGTCTCATCCAGGGTCCTTGTGTATTGCTGCCCTCTCCTGGGTGCAGCCAGACCTGCTGCCTCCCGAGGAGTCAACCCAAAATCCTGCACATGAAGTTCTTGTCAGGAAGCTGTAATTAAGCTTTTTCTAGAGCTAAGACAGTAAACCCACTTGCACAGCTTTCCAGGCCTCCTCATAGCACACTGATTGCTGTGACATGAGCGGTGCTTTTGGGAGTGTTCTGGTTGGGCTGTTTGAGACATGTCTTTTTTGTGTTTCCCACTTCTGGTCCATGTGATGTTCATGGGATGTCTGTACATAGATAAAACCACTCGAGTCTGAGAGACAAACCTGTGTTTGGGAGAAAGGGTACTGGTAGAAAGATGCAGAGGTGAGAAGTGTGATCATAGAATCATGGAATGCTGTGAGTTGGAAGGGACCCACAAGGGTCAGGGAGTCCAACTCCTGTCCCTGCACAGGACAATCCCAACATTCACACCATGTCCCTGAGGGCACATGTTGGCCAAATGCTGCTGGAATCTTGTCAGGCTTGGTGCCATGAGCACCTCCCTGGGGAGCCTGTTCCAGTGCTCCACCACCCTCTGGGTTCCTGAAGAACCTTTTCCTCATGGCCAACCTCACCCTCCCCTGCCACATCTTCCTGCCATTCCCTCTGCTCCTGGCATTCGTTGGTGGCCAGAGAGAAGAGCTCAGGATCAGGGTCCATTACCTCTGTATTTGATTGTACCCTGGCTCTATTTTGCATCAGTTCACTTTATTCAAACTCCAAAGCCTGTTCCTGTCAGGGATGTGAGCTGTATCATTTCCTAGTATCTCGAGCCCCATCTATCTTGGAAAAAGAGCACACCAGGCTCAGGCTGCATCTCTTCACACGGTAACACAAAGTGCTTCCACCGTATTACCAGGGTGACAGCCCTTAGTAAGATGATCCAAAATTTTTCTCTTAACAGTTGCATTTTTCTGTTTGTAATGGTGTGTAGAAATGTCAGTGCGTATGTCGAACCTGGAAAATGATAGGGACGAGAGAGATGATGACAGCCATGAAGACAGAGGAATCAGTAAGTACCAAACCATTTTGCTGTAAAAAAATCTTAGATTAAGAGTAAATGAGCTATTTGTTTTCTTAATGTGCTAGAATTAAAAATAGGTGAGGAAGCCCTGTGCTGATCAGCAGCGGAAAATGACAGAACAGTGTTTTAACTTAGACCATAACTTCAGTGCACCTTTATAGAATCACAGAATCGTAGTGGTTGGAAAAGACCTTTAAGATCATCGAGTCCAACCATAAACCCAACACTGCCAATCCCACCTCTAACCCGTGTCCCTGAGCACCTCGTCTGTTCAATCCCACCAGGGAAGGTGACTCCACCACCTCCCTGGGCAGCCTGTTCCAATGCCTGACTGCCCTTGGGGTGAAGAAGTTTTTCCTCAGATCCAATCTAAAACTCCCCTGGGGCAACTGGAGCCCATTTCCTCTTGTCCTGTCCCTTGGTCCTTGCTTGAACAGACCCACCCCCACCTCTCTCCACCCTCCTCCAAGGGACTTGCACAGAGCCACAAGGTCTCCCCTCAGCCTCCTTTTCTCCAGGCTCAACACCCCCAGTTCCCTCAGCCACAAGGGAACTCAGCACACTTGTGCTCCAGACCCTTCCCCAGCTCCGTTAGTTTCTTGCTGAAAAATGAGACTTTTTTTTTTTAACTTTTAAAATATGAATCTTGGTTATGTGTGGAGGAGGTTTACCCCTTACGCCCCCCACCCCCCATCACAACCACTTCCAGAAATAGCTCTGATCAGCTTAAAAATTGCAATTGTGACAGTACAGGGTATGGCAAACCCCTACCTTTGCTCAGCTTTGGAGAGGAGAGGCCCAGTCTGGCCTGTACCTTCAACAAATGTGGCAGTAAATCTTATTTGCATTGATTTGGGATGCTTGGACTTCTCTACTGTTCAGTAAAAATGCACTTTGCAGCTGATACTGCTGTGCTGTAAGATGAGCCAGTGCCCCTGAGCGCTGGGAGAGCTCCAGAGTCAGACCAGATCCCTGTCTCTGGGCTCTCACCAAAACAGAACTGAAACAATAACCCAGGATTTGAAACTGTGTCAGCGCTCAGAGATTGAAAAATAACCGTATCTGAGTTTCAGGGCTTGCGTCCATTGCTTCTCCAAGTTCTTTTTAGTGTCAGTTTGAGTTGGCTTTCAGTGTGGCCACGGGTTCTTCAGCGTCAACACAATAATTCTGTAACTTCTATTAATCCAAGTAGATGAAGTGAATGAGTTTGAATGGATCATGGTCTGTTCCACGTTTAAACACCAGTTTTTCACTCCTTCTCCTCTGTCACTTGACAGTCATCTTGAAAGAAGCAGTGTTTGAGAAGAATTCGTTTGCAGAAAGCCTCTTCCCCTGTGCCTGATTTGTACCACTGATTCAATTCAGTCAAAGCACTTTCTCGAAAACCAGTTCTGTTTCTTTTTCTCTCCCAGTTAGTAACACTCGATTTATAGCAGCGGTGATAGAGCGGCACGCCCACAGCCCCGAACGCAGACGCCGCTACTGGGGGCGATCGGGAACGGAGAGCGACCATGGTAAGACCTTGAATCACTGCCCTGGCCCCAGGTTAATGATTGTGGTTAGTTGGTTTCCTTCAGGTGTCTGGCACGTTGCAGATAAGGCTGCCAAAACCAAAGCAAAACAAAAACCTTTGCTCCTTATTGCTTCACAGTCCAAACAGTTTTGACACCCTTCAGCAGATGATCGTGTCCAGCCAGGGAGCTGGTTTTGTCAGAGCAGTAGTACAGCAGCAGCTGAATGCTGTGCGCTCCCCGTCTGGTTTTGGGTTCTGCCAGCTTCACTGGGTGACCAGAGTTCAGCCTGACAGGAACGGTACCACATTGACCACACTCCTTTTCCACCACCAGCCCCAACAGCCTAGATGTTCAGTTGAGGTAATGAACCTCTCCTACTTAATGAGAGAAAGGAAGTCCCTTGAAATGAGGGATCAGCATCTCTACTGCTCTGCTCTTTGCCATGACTTGCACAAAACTCTAGCAATGTGTGCTGGACCCTTGCTGGGGTAGAGTAAGCATGGATCCAGAGACCAACGTGTCAGCGCCCCATGAGCCTTCCTGTGGCACGTTCAGTCCACACCATCATCACGGAGGACATCTGACGTCACCTTTGAGCAAATAACGATCAACATTAAGTGCGCATGTGTGTCGCGATGAAGGGTTTTCAGCCACGCGTGTTTCCCCTTCAACCATTCAGGTTCAGGGAATTTTGATAATGTCTCTCCTGCCCTCAGACTAAGTCTCCTTAAACCTTGAAAGCTGGTAGAAGGCTGTCGTGCTGTTGACTCATGAGGAGGCTTAATCTAAATTAAGAGGAGGGTGAGACAAGGCCGTCTGCCGCAGATGTCACGTGTCGTAGCGCTGGGTGTGTTACAGCAGACCTGTTCCATTATTAAGATGATGGTTGCACTAATGGTATTGCTGAGGGACAGGAAATCTGAAGGCCAAAGCTTTGGAAGGTAGATGAACAGATGTCAGAGAGACAGTCTTGCTCTAGGAGGAATTACCCTGGATTTGGGGCCAGATCACCTGTGCTGAGGCAGATTTGCCAGGCTAATGCTCCTTTTGCTCCATTTCTTGTAGTCGTAGCAAATCCTTCCCATCTTCCTAGTCAACACGTCGGGGTAGCAGAGTAACTGTCTACCCATTTCTGAAACATCTGCTTCTATTTTTAGTTTCTGTAATTCCATCTTCAAAGGGCTGCCCAGTCTTCTTCCCCAATTCCTCTCTGCCAGCTAGGAACCATGACTCAGAGCATGGGAAATGAGAACCAGCTTTGGGTACTTAGCCAGGTATTTTTAACACACTTCTTTGAGGTGTCTGAAGCTGAAAACCTGACCGAGATGCTCAGAAGCAGTTGTGGTTTTCAGTGTTTTTCAGAGTTTTCTGAGAAGGATTGCTTTTCTAATTAAATCTTTTTTCCTTTTTAAGTTTTGTGGTTTTGCATTTAGAAATACTGAGGTGGTTTTGTTTGTAATGCAAACTGGTTTTGAGGGGTAACAGTTGGTTTCAATGTGAAATCCAAATCTCATAGTTACTACGAGCACCTGCTTCAAAAGAAAGGGACAAAAAAAATCTCTGAGGGTCTTGTTGGGAAGCAGCTTCCTCACTGAGAAAGCAGGATCCTGTCTTGCAAGGGGGAGCTGTCAGCTGGCTTTCCAGTGACATCATTTCCGTAGGATATCCCAGCGAATGCAATGTCTCAGGACTCAGAGGTGGCTGAGCTGGGTTTTCGAACCTCTCAGACTCCAGCAGCGGATATTTTAGCCGAAGGAGAGCCTGGAGTTAATTGCACCGCGTGTGTGTCAGTGCTGTTTGCCTTAATGGACCTGCAGTGTGAAACACTTCCATGTGGATTCCCTAGATTTCTTTAACTCTGTGGAAAGCTCACCAGCGTGAAAACCACGTGCTTGGTTTTTGCAGACAGTGAAAAGTGCTCTCTTCCTTTTCAAAATACAATGCTGTGGGTATCCAACAAGATGATGTGAAGAAGTTTTGCTGCTTCCAGATACAGTAGCTGGCAATCATAGAATCACAGAATCCCAGACTGGTTTGGGTTGGAAGGGACCTTAAAGCTCATCCAGTCCCAACCCCCCTGCCAGCAGCAGGGACACCTTCCACTAGACCAGGTTGCTCAAAGCCTCATCCAACCTGGCCTTCAACACTTCCAGGGAGGAGCAGCCACAGCTTCCTTGGGCAACCTGTTCCTACGAAGGATGTAGTTTGATAGGAGTAGAGGAGGTGATAGTGGATCCCACCTGTTTCTTGTCTGTTTGCAAAAATCCAGGTAATATCTTAAAAGATACCAGCTCCAAAAGAATTCTGTTATGTTTTGGTTTTGAAATCAGCGGCAGCAGTTCTACTGTAACAAACTGCTGAACTGCTTGTTTTTCATAGAATCATAGAATGGTTTGGGTTGGAAGGGACCTTAAAGCTCATCCAGTCCCAACCCCCCTGCCAGCAGCAGGGACACCTTCCACTAGACCACGTTGCTCAAAGCCTCATCCAGCCTGGCCTTCAACACTTCCAGGGAGGAACAGCCACAACTTCCTTGGGCAACCTGGGACACTGTCTCACCACCCTCACAGTGGGTGGGGGTGGTCAGACACTGGAACCAAACTCTCTGTTTGGTTCTGTTTGACACTCTCCTGTTTGGGGTGGTAGAGACCATAGGTCCTCAAAGTTGATCAACAAAGATGGTGACAGGTAAAAGGATCCCTTATGAACTTAGAGGAGAGAATGGTTTTGTTTGTGTTTTTCCTTTTTCTATTAATAAAAGAAAATTAATTGTTTTGTTCTCTATCAAGGACTGACTGTGTCTGATTCCATGAAGGATGCAGCAGTCAGCAGTGTGGAATACGGACCTTTGAGTCTTGCTTTTAATTCTTTGTCCTGCTGGTTTCTTTTCTAGGCTACAGCACGATGAGTCCTCAGGAAGACAGTGAAAACCCTCCATGCAACAACGACCCATTGTCGGCTGGTGTTGATGTTGGAAACCACGACGAAGACTTAGACCTGGACACGCCACCTCAAACAGCCGCCCTGTTGAGTCACAAGTTTCACCACTACCGGTTGCACCACCCAACTCTTCACCACAGCCACCATTTACAGGCTGCAGTCACGGTACACACTGTGGATGCAGAGTGCTAATGAACAACGACAAAAGAAACAGAACTTGTGAACAACCATCCGTGCAGCCACGGGCAGCTTCGTTTCGGTGCTTTTCACCAGGAACGATGTCACTAACTTCCTGAGTAAACTGTTAGGCGTAAAAGCTTTACATTTTTATAAATGTAAGGTTGGCTCTGAAATGGAAGGGAAACGTGCTTGATGAATGGACCTGCCATAACATTGAATAAAGTGAAGCAGGAGGCACGTTAGATCTCCAAAAACAGGGACGTGAGTTTATACAGCAGCTGAAGCTTTGGAAGCCCTGTTATGCTGAGCCAAGAGGAGAGAGCGAGTTTAAAAGAGCCAGAGATGATTTGGTTTCCTTAACTGGAAGAGCAGAAATCTGTGCAGCTGAAGACTAAAAAAGTGCCAGATAGAGGCGGGGCTGGGGAGGGGGGGGAAGGCTGCTGGTTTCTCTGCGGTTTGTTTGGCGCGTAGAAAGTTCACTGCTCCGAGGATTGCTGTATGGAACCCGGGACAATGCATCTCCAGATTTTTAACTAAAGGATTATTTTTCTACTATTTATTGAACTCGAAACTTTGGGAGGGGAGGGAGGGGAGAAAACATGTTAGCAATTCTCTCAACAACTACCACATATATTCTGTGATGGTGAAGTGGTTCTTCTGAGGAAGACATCTGTTTCTTATTAGCTGATCTTCATCCACTGCCCCACTCTGCAAAAGGGAAAATGAAGAAGTCGTTTCTGACGTGTTTACATTATGAATGCTTTCTCTTCCACAATTGTTTTTCTGTAAATATTACAACCTGATTTATATTACAGTATTTTCTTCCTATTTGCAGAGGAGAAATCCTGTACTCCCTTACTAAAATTCTGAGAATTCTGCTTATAAACCTCTCCATCTTTACCACTTCGATCATCCTGAAAGGTTTCCTGTGTGGAAGTAATAAAGAATTTATTTAGCATTAGTTACCAGATAATTCCAAATTAAATCTGTGCCATTCTTCTGTTTCCTTAGGACACTACCAAGGTCAGAAGTAGGGATAAACCAGTGTTTTGTAAAACTTGGGTTACCGTGGAAGGTATCTTCCTGAAATCATCATTTTAAGCTGCTGCTGTTTGTCTGGAATTTAACATTGCTTGGTAATTCAAAGAAAGATTAATCAATCTGTCTACAACACAGGGCATCATAATTATGAATTAGTTTGAAATCACAGTGTTGTGTTTTAGATTCATATTTTGTGATTACGATGATATGAAAACGTTCTTGCACTGTGCATATGATAAACATCCATTTATATGTAGGGTTTTTTTAAAAAAACACTTGTTTTCATTAATATGGTACTTAATGCTGTATTATGTAAAAAAAATTGGTTCTTAAACAGTACAGTAAAATAACTGTGTGTGATATCTGGCACTGTGCATATGATAAACATCCATTTATATGTAGGGTTTTTTTAAAAAACACTTGTTTTAATTAATATGGTACTTAATGCTGTATTCTGTAAAAAAAAAATTTGGTTCTTAAACAGTACAGTAAAATAACTATATGTGTGATATCAGGATACCCCTTTATACTATGTATAAAATTTAAAATCTCTAGTGGAATAAACTGTATATAAAGTATAGTTCTGTGGATAACTGGCTAGACTGAAATTATTCTGTCTTTATTTCCTTTAATTTTCTGGCTGAATGAGTGCTGTAACAGGAATGAAACATTTGAAGATACAGAAGAAGTTTATATCTTGGAAGATCTAAACTTTACAGATATATGACAGTGTGGAGGTGTGTTTTAAAGTTTGGGGTTGGTTGGGTTTTTGGAGGGGTTTTTTTTTTTGGAAACAAACATTTCTGGAAGTGTTCAGCCACTGCACAGACTCACCAAAGCCAATCATTTGGGGTTTTTTTTCTTATGCGCTACTAAAAACTTGGTTGTGCTGGATTTGCTGTTCCACTGTGTTTTGTGTAGGATTGGGTTGTGGTTTTTTACTGACCAGACAGCTGTAGAAATCCATCAAGCATTGCTTTATGCTCTCAAAGGGGCTGATCTGATGCCCTGTAACAGTTTGTGTGTCAATCTGTAGACTCAAATTTGCTAGAATTTCTAATATTGAATCTAAAATAATGCCGGTGGTTGGGTAATGAACAAACTGGCTGTTTTGTCGGGTTTGCCTTTTGAAGAAAATACTTGGAAATGGGTTTAAGCTGAAAGAGGGGAGGTTTAGATGAGATATTAGGAAGAAGTTCTTCACTGTGAGGGTGGTCAGACACTGGAACAGGTTGCCCAAGGAAGTTGTAGATGCCCCCTCCCTGGAAGTGTTGAAGGCCAGGCTGGATGAGGCTTTGAGCAACCTGGTCTAGTGGAAGGTGTCCCTGCTGATGGCAGGGGGGTTGGAACTGGATGATCTTTAAGGTCCCTTCCAATCCAAACCATTCTATGATATTACTGTTACTGCTAGACAAAAAAACAACGTACCCAGCCAAGAAGCAGAATTATTAAGCATGAAGGAAAAATAGCTTTCAGTGTGGAAACTGTTAAAGTCTACGCAAATTTTAATAACAGTTTGGGTGAAACATCAAACAAGATGCTTTTTTGGTTTCTGAGTTCTATAAAACTCATGGAGGTGTTCTCACTAAAATTCAGAGGTAAATCAGAGGTGAAGTTCTAGCTAAGACTTTATTTATTGAAATCTCTGCATGTCGCACAGACACTGGAATTCACCCAAAAGCCGTTACCACGTGACAAAAGTGTCTCTGGAAGTCACTGACTCGTAAAGTGGAATTTAAATTGTGTTTTTGCCCATCTACATACATATGAAGGAACCTCAGTGTGCAGCAGAACTTGAGTATTAGCTCCCCAGTCATAGTTTTTTATGTCAGGCAACATTAGAATAGTTCCCTTGCGTATAAAATAATACAAACAGAAATAAAGAAAAGCACACCTTTGGCTTGATCTGCACTAGCCTGCCTGCTCTGGTACTGATGAGAATTTAAACTAGATGAAGCTATGGAGCACATTTGTAGTGAGAAGCACATCACTAAGTCCAACTCTAATTAACTGCAGTGTTAAACACAGCTTGTGTGCCTACATTTATTAACCCACACTGGCATACTCTGTACTGCTTTTTTTCATAGTGGGAGAAATAATTTCCATTCAAAACGTACCAGAAAGTAATAGAAATAAGCACATACGTTGTAAAATGCAATCATAGTAATTTCTTTTTTGACTACAGTTACTGTTTCAGTGGAGAGATTTTTTCTTGTTGTTCTTAAAATTACATGCCAGGCAGAAACTGCTTGCAGTGTTCTCTGTTGCAGCCCTGCCAGAAATATATCTAAGCATCGCAGAACACCTCTCTTTGAACAGCTATCAAAAAGTCACAGCAACCCAACCCCTTTGCTTTTACCTTTAAAAGCTTCTCTAGAGCTGCACCTCACTGCTGCCTCATCACTTTTGTGTTAGGACGTACAAACTGTTCTTGATTTGTGGGGTCTGGACAACCTTGCTTATGCTTGAAGTAATGAGAAGAGCCAAAGCTGTTCCTGTTAAGGAGTAATTAAGGGAAAAGCACCGATCTAGAGGTGTGCCAAATCACAGCTTCAAATACTGACAGCTAACCTTGTCCCAGCAGGAATAAATTAATGTTGGTAAAGATACTCTTGTTCATTTAAAACAAAACCTGGTAAGTACAGGAGAGAACGTGGATGTAATCGAGGTTTCTGAGAAGCTGCATGACAGCTCTTCCATGGTTGCTGCAGGTGTTGCTGCTGTGGCTTTCCCTCCTCATTATTTTACTGCATGGATTGAGGAGCAACATGATAAAATGAGCAGTTACCTGCTGGACTTGGACTCACACCCTGTATCCTCCTTACCTATAACTAGTAGACTTTATGGCCATTAATTTTCCACTAGTTTAATTTTAAAACTTAGTTGTATTCATTTTCTGTAGGTTTTCTTTCATCCTTCCAGAACAGGTTCTTTTGAAATGAAAATGAGTGTTGCCTTTGGTTTGTGTTCACTAATGTTATATTGACTTAATGTTTTCAGCATTTGAGAACTGTGAAGTATATTGATTTTTCCTGTATGTAACAAGGAGGTCCTCCATCCAAGTAACCCAGCTGGCCTGCCCAGAGATAGAAGCTGTTTACATGTTCAGAATATATTGCTTGAAAATGAACTGAAATTTTTTTTTTATGTGTTTACATTATTGGCTTGATAAAAAAAATATGATTTGGAAAGAAGAATATGTTACAATTTGCCCGTGAACATTTTATAAGGCCACTTAAGCCATGAAATATTATCTTTACCCTTGCCCTTGGCAATGAGAGAGAAGACAGATGAGAATTCAGGAGATGTTCACGTGTGCAGCAGTAGTTGTGACTATAACTGGTCAAAATGAGGTCTCTGGCTTTCAAAGGCTTCATTCTGTAAAGTGACCCAGAAATGGTGGTGAGGATAGAAAGTAGATTTGTCAGAGTACAAATTATGGTAGGAGGTTGGCAGCAAATACAGAAAAGGGGGGAAAAAAATAGGATGCAGAAGTCCTGGATCAAGTTAGGAGAGTGCAGGTAATCCAAAAGGCTGTATGCAAGTGCAGAGATTAATTTGCAGCGTTCATAGCTCTCAGCTACCCGTTTCATTTGCTTTTAAAAGACAATCCCAGCTATGGCTGGGATTTTCAAAAGAGCCTGCACTAGGCTTTCAGTGATGTTTGGAATATTAATTCCTAAGGCAGTTCATTTGGTAACTGTTGGGCTGTTTTGTTCCACAGTCCCCCCTTTGCCATGGAACCTAACTATGAAAAAGTACTCGAAGTGCCATGGAGTATTTCATATTACTTATTTGCAGCACTTCTGCATGATGAGAGGTAATTATTTTCTCTACTTTATGTGTTCTGAACTGAGTCACGGAAGGACCTTGGCCCAGAAGGGCTTGCATTTCTGAAAGCCAAGGCTACAGTGGAATTTCGACACTCAAGTCCAAGAGTGAAGTCCTCCAGCCCCTGCCTTGTTAGTGAAGTGCCAAACATAACTGGTGTGTTTGCCAGTGCATGCGCAGAAACGCCGCCTGGTTTCTCTCCCTAGGAAAGCTTGATGCTCCTCCTGCCTCTGCACCCTTTATATCGCCTGCTTGGGATTGTGCTTTTTCAGGCAGATCTTCTGCCTCAGAACCCAAAGGAGCCTGAACTGGCAGAAATTCAGAGTTTATCTAACACTGTGTGTGAACAGGGGTTTCCGAAGCGTGGCAGCCTGCACTAGAACGTGCACTTACTGGTTGCCTGCACTGTTCCAGGCAAAGGCTGACATCACGTCTGCTTCTTCAAACTTCCAGTGAGATTTTCAGTAAATAGTTGCTCTAATAATACATTAAAGGAAAATAAATATCTGAAGTACAAAAGAGTTTCCTTCAAATAATCAGATCTACTCCACTTAACCAATGTAACACCATTCTATACCCATCAGAAAGTGGCAGTCATATCCACTTAACCACGGCGATGGCCTGAGCAGGAGAAGCACAAATTTGATGGCAGAGGTGGAACAAGGTTCTGCTTAAACTTGAGAAGAAACTTCTTTCCAGTGAGGGTGACAGAGCCCTGGGACAGGCTGCCCAGGGAGGGTGTGGAGTCTCCTTCTCTGGAGACATTCAAAACCCACCTGGACACCTTCCTGTGTGATCTCATTTAGGTTCCTGCTCTGGCAGGGGGATTGGACTGGATGATCTTTCGAGGTCCCTTCCAATCCCCAACATTCTGTGATTCTGTGATCTGGAAGTTTCACCTTCAGCTCAGATGAATCATAGTGACCTCGTCTAAATTCTGTGGAAACCATTTACTGTTGTTATCCCTGGGCTGGTTTCATTAGTGGAAGCAGTCGATGGTACTGCTTTCAGAAGCTGGGAGCCAGCAGTAACAATTATGTTTTGTTCTGTTTTATTCTACATTTTTATAGCTGACACTGACAAAAACACCAGTTTCTTGGAGCACTGCCTGAGCAAGTGCTCTGCCCTGTTATTGCCGCTAATGGAACAAAAATAGTGATAGCAAGGAAGGGAAAGTGTTGGCAAAAAAAGCATAGTGCAGGAACCTTTCCACCCCACCCTCCACCTGGCAGTGAACGGTGAGGGCACGAGTACAACACCTCCTCGGATAAAGGGAACGACCTCAGCCTCAGAAACTGCCGAGTCAGCGCTTTTTACACACAGCCTGTCTGCAGGAAAAACGCACAGCAAGAGGTGGTGCTGTGCCACGCCGAGGTTCTTCTAAAACCAGCAGTCTCCTCTTTAAACCTTGGCACTATCACACCGGTTGAACAATGGGCCAGCCTTGGGTTAGATTGCCAAATATTTCCAGTTTAGTCAACACTGATGGAGTTTTTCTAATTTTAAAACTCTTCCACTGCACCTAA